ACCTATTCTACCCCGGATCCTCACGGGTCTGACATCTAAAAGACGAGGGGCGGTGGGGTAGCCTATAGTACTGTCGGAAATGCTAGAAAAATGCTTTTTGCCTGTAAAAAAGGGATATAATTTTTCACAGACTGTTTTTGAAATATCGAATAACTACCGATCGTCCTACCTGTGGTTTGAAGTATTTCAGTCACAAGGAGTCCTATCGACAAGTTTACAGGAGACAAATTCGAACGAAAACACGAAGTTCAATGATGGCAGTCTGAAACAGACTATAGAAATATGCGCACTTGACTCCGTTACAGTGAGTGAGTGAGTTGGGTTTAACGCCGCTTTTAACAGTATTGCAGTTATATCACGGCGTGTCAGCTTAATGTGGGAGGAAAGCCCGAAGTGATGCAGGTCTCAGACGTTTATCATTTCGGAGGATTTAGACAGCTTTGATACAGGGTGATTAGGTGTATAGTGTACAAGCTTTATGAGCAGAAGGTAACCTTGTCTTGTAGTTGAATTTGGGAGGAATTAAAGATACAATTAATGTTTCCCGGACTGCACTAACTATTGCTCTCCAAGGGATGGAATTTCGATACACTGCGCGCGGCGATGACCGAGGACTTTTCAGGGGAAATTATTACATTCTGTCTATGAGGTCACATTATCTCCGAACCATTCATAACTATCAGCCAGGGCGTCCAGATAATTTACCTTGGTGAATCTTTCCACTGTCTACATGTGGCTATTGGCAGATGGACAAAAAGCACCCATGGTGCCATCAGGTGAAGGTAATCGTGTCATTGTTTTGCACGCTGCAACCCATGATATTGGGCTTATTGATGGATGTTTTCGAGGAGAAAAAGAAAACTGGAAATTATAGGAGGTGATGTGTTAATAGGCTGGTTGGAACTTCAGCTATTGCCCAATTTTAAACAACGTCCGTGTGATTGTCATGGATAACGCCAGTTAATATAACGTCCGGGAATCAGATACTGTCGCCCAAACCATGAGTAGTCTGAAGGCGACCATACAGGAATATATGACATTGGTCGACTTCAGACCATATGAAACGAACGTTCAACCCATGGAGAAGATTCGGCTGAATATTAAGAAACCAGTAAAGTACAAGACATATGTGCTGGCGGCACAACACGGTTACGTTGTCTTACGTACGGCAGTCAGACATTGTGAGCTCAACCCTGTTGTGTCTATTTTGGCTAAATGTACAGGGTTCGTGACAAGACATAGCACAACATTCAAAAGTACAGATTCATATATGTCATCAGCGGAGATAAATGCTACCTCAAGAAACCATCTGTAGAACAAAAACTTCTGGATTCCAAAATCGCAACCTTCCAATACTCATCCCGTTCCATAGCTCTTAACTAGTCCATGTTTCCAAGCAAATATAATGCAGTACATATCCTTAATTGCTACCTCATCAACGCATGTCAATTAAGTACAACAACAGCAGCAATATTTTGAGACCACCCCCAACTCGGTGACATTTGAACCTGGGAGAATGCACGGGGCTGTGCGAGGTCATCACCTCGGGAGGCTTGCCCTCATCTGGCCTACACCTCATCTGGCCTACACTAAATACAAATGGTTACTTCCACACCCCTGTTGTGTAGAATGGTACTGTCCATTAACCCATTAATGATTTCATTCATTTATATGAATTAATGACCTGAGTACATGGGCCTTTGAACTAATCCGATGTTTTCATAGTGGTATCTAATCCTTGGTTTTGTTTTGACTGTTTATACAGGATTACTGTTATAATCCACTATTAACAGGTCTACTCATCTTAAAAGTTTTGTAAGTGTGTATACATTACCTTACCTGATATAATCCAATCTGAGCATTTTAACAGGTCTACTCATCTGGAAGAGTTCATTTTACTTAAGGGATAAGGGTACAAGTGTGATGTGCACTCATCCATAAATTTGTTTTGATAGTAGTGTAGGCCAGATGAGGACAGGCCCCTCGGGACAGGTGTTAGGTAATTACCTCAGGTTATAGGCAATTTCATACATGCATGAAGTTTATCATCATTTTACCTGTAAAAGTACATTTTAGGGTAATCAGTGTCAGCTAGGACAGGCTAGATTAGGGCAATTCGCGTTATTTTGATATATGCTCTTTTTACTGTCCCTATGACTCGTATTTATTAAATGAAGCCAGAAAAGCAATTTTCTAGCATTTCCGACAGTACTTTAGTGGTTGAAGCGTTCGCTCGTCACGAAGACACGGGTTCGATTCCCCTCATGGGTACAATGTGTGAAGCCTATTTCTGGTGACCACTGGCGTGAAATTGCGTTAACATTGCTTAAAGCAGCGTAAAACCATACTTACTCTAAAACACGATACCCTTGGAAACATTTCTTCGTTTGTTGTTTAACAATGCACTCCAGCTGCATGATGGCGACTTGGGAAAAACCGAGTCTTGACCAGACACTATACTACTCAACATTTGCTAAAGCCCACACATTTGACTAAAGATGGCTATTTTGGTCCTTAGTAAATGTTGAGTATTATAGTTCAAGATATAATGAACATGTCAACCGTCGATGACACTGACATAAGGGGGCATGAGTGTCGGAGCAATTAGCTATTCAGAGTTGCGTCCCTTGAGTACTCCAGAAATCAAGCTCCTTCCCAGCGCGTGACACATTCGTCACACTCTCGGTAACATCGCTGCCACCAGTGTGGGCGCGGCCATTACAAGAATCTTGAAATTTACCCTCTATCCCCAAATGTAGTAACGTTAATACTTTTGTTTATGTTTTTGGGAATGCCATCATATCTCATTTTGAAAAGGTGTACGACTGACCATGTTTTCCCAGATTAATTTACTTATTTTTTTAAATAATCACATTGGTTCGAGATTGCAGACTGACGGAAAATCAACCAACTTATCCCTTACATTCTTACTATATCAATTACATGTTAGTTTTAATGAAATAGAAATTAAAATTGACAAACAAAGTAGGTCATTTAGCAGCGGTAAGTGTATTCGGCGTCACGGCAGTCATCACTTGTTTGTAAACATAACGGTCATTCGGGTGCGAGTTCAACTCCAAGCATGGTTGTGGCCACCTATCACAGTGGGGAGTTATGACTGGTGGCAGCGATAGTATAGAGAGCTCCGCGAACGGGCCGTCGCTGTGAGGAGCTTGCTCCAGAAATCTATGATTGTGGGTTTGAATCCGGTTCGCCACGATTATGTTATTGGTTTGTCAGAATCATAGGCATGCTTTGACACCGACGTGGTAAACCTTTAAGACCTGCATCACTTCGAGCTTTCTTCACACATTAAGCGGACACGCCGTGATGTTAATGGAATACTGCTGGGATTTGCGTTAAACCCAACTCACAATGACATACATTCAACCAAGTCACGGATAGTGACCATGGATTCGCAGGTTGCTGGGGTCCCCTTTCAAGGATCAGGACATGACTCAACATAGAACATACATTCAACCAAGTCACGGATAGTGACCATGGATCCACAGGTTGCTGGGGACCCCTTTCAAGGATCAGGACATGACTCAACATAGAACATACATTCAACCAAGTCACGGATAGTGACCATGGATCCACAAGTTGCTGGGGTCCCCTTTCAAGGATCAGGACATGACTCAACATAGAACATACATTCAACCAAGTCACGGATAGTGACCATGGATCTACAGGTTGCTGGGGACCCCTTTCAAGGATCAGGACATGACTCAACATAGAACATACATTCAACCAAGTCACGGATAGTGACCATGGATCCATAGGTTGCTGGGGTCCCCTTTCAAGGATCAGGACATGACTCAACATAGAACATACATTCAACCAAGTCACGGATAGTGACCATGGATCCACAGGTTGCTGGGGTCCCCTTTCAAGCACCAGGACATGACTCAACATAGAACATACATTCAACCAAGTCACCGATAGTGACCATGGATCCATAGGTTGCTGGGGTCCCCTTTCAAGGATCAGGACATGACTCAACATAGAACATACATTCAACCAAGTCACGGATAGTGACCATTGATCCACAGGTTGCTGGGGACCCCTTTCAAGGATCAGGACATGACTCAACATAGAACATACATTCAACCAAGTCACGGATAGTGACCATGGATCCATAGGTTGCTGGGGACCCCTTTCAAGGATCAGGACATGACTCAACATAGAACATACATTCAACCAAGTCACGGATAGTGACCATGGATCCATAGGTTGCTGGGGACCCCTTTCAAGGATCAGGACATGACTCAACATAGAACATACATTCAACCAAGTCACGGATAGTGACCATGGATCCACAGGTTGCTGGGGTCCCCTTTCAAGCACCAGGACATGACTCAACATAGAACATACATTCAACCAAGTCACGGATAGTGACCATGGATCCATAGGTTGCTGGGGTCCCCTTTCAAGGATCAGGACATGACTCAACATAGAACATACATTCAACCAAGTCACGGATAGTGAGCATGGATCCACAGGTTGCTGGGGACCCCTTTCAAGGATCAGGACATGACTCAACATAGAACATACATTCAACCAAGTCACGGATAGTGACCATGGATCCACAGGTTGCTGGGGACCCCTTTCAAGGATCAGGACATGACTCAACATAGAACATACATTCAACCAAGTCACGGATAGTGACCATGGATCCACAGGTTGCTGGGGACCCCTTTCAAGGATCAGGACATGACTCAACATAGAACATACATTCAACCAAGTCACGGATAGTGACCATGGATCCACAGGTTGCTGGGGACCCCTTTCAAGGATCAGGACATGACTCAACATAGAACATACATTCAACCAAGTCACGGATAGTGACCATGGATCCACAGGTTGCTGGGGACCCCTTTCAAGGATCAGGACATGACTCAACATAGAACATACATTCAACCAAGTCACGGATAGTGACCATGGATCCACAGGTTGCTGGGGACCCCTTTCAAGGATCAGGACATGACTCAACACAGAAGTTCCTTTCCCGACTTTAATGACTTTTTGGTAACAGTAATTCTCGCTTTTCACACAATCACAAGACTCTGATGATCCGTGAGTGTGCTTGCTGAATTTGGGAGTCGCCTTCCCAAATATCACGTCGTCGTCTACCATTGCTGCAGGAACTGCCGTCACAGTTGCTGGCGCACATTGTAAAATTACATTCGAACTTCAGCAGATTGTCATTGCGCATAGCGAAGACCTTGAAGTATGGGCTGGTGGCTGTGAGTCCTCTTGTTGTTAATCCTTCAGTCTTCTTGAAAATCAGCCCGTCACCACACCCTCCCCTAATGACGGCGTACCTGGCATTCGACGTCGTCCCTGTTTGACGCAAAAAAGACATATCTGGTTGGGTTAATCAAAAATTGACTTCAATGTGTTTTGGGGCATTTATGGAGGTATGAATAATAAACCGCTTGGCGTTTTTAAAAAGAAATATGCACACCTGCTTTTACGTTAATACTGCCATAAACGCAATAAAGAACCAATACTGAAATCATTTCTTATAAAAAAGATACGTCAATATTAATTTCAAAGATGTTGGTTTTTTAACAGTCGAAATCAGCGACATTCTGCGCAATGATGAAACCAGACCCGCAGATTCTATTGTCAGCCAATCAGAAAACAGTCCCTTTGTTGTCGTGGCCTATTTTTCAGTTTATGGGAACATAAAAAATATTTACTTATTTGGCCAACTGGCATTGAATCACTTGAAATAAATTGTGCTCTGAACAGTATTTCAGTTATGCCGGGAAGCGTGAGTTAGCGATTCTAAGATCTTTTGAGCAGTATTTCAATTATAACACGTGTCAGTTTCATGTGGGACGAAAGTGATGGAAGTCTTTTATGCTTACCACTCCGGTGAAACCAACTAACACAGGATTCGAATGAGTGAGTGAGTTGGGTTTAACGTCGCTTTTAACAGTATTCCAGTTAAATCGCAGCGTGTCATCTTTATGTGGGAGGAAAGCCCGAAGTGATGCAGGTCTCAGACGTTTACCACTTCGGTGAAACCCACGAGTACGGGTATGGTGCTGACAAACCTAGAAACATAATCGGGGCGAACCGGGATTCGAACCCATTATCACAGGCGTCTTGGATAACTGGGCCACCTGTGTAGCCCCGCATTTGTTTGTTTGTTGTTTAACGCCGCAGTCAGCAATATTCCAGCTATGACTGCGGTCTGTAAATAATCGAGTCAGGATCAGACAATCAAGTGATTAATATCATGAGCATCGATCCACGCAATTGGGATCGACGACATGCATCAACCAAGTCAGCGAGGCTGACCATCAGATCCCGTTAGTCGCCTCTTACGACAAGCATGGTCGCCTTGTACGGCAAGTAGGAGTTGCTGAAGACCTATTCTACCCCGGATTTTCATGGGTCCGGTAATGCGGTACGCGGAACGCAAATAAAATAGTATTTCTAAGCGATGGAAGTGTGAATCCAGCCTTGGTAAACCTCTTCATTTAGAGCGAGTTAAAATTTTAAGTCACATTGGCAATATTTCAGCCATATTGCGACTCTTCAGTTAGAAAATAAAGAGTACGTAAAAGGTTTCTTTATAATTATTTTTTTCGGATTTTGTTTTTCAAAAAGTTACTTCAAATTACTTTTGTCAATCCTTTTAAGAATTGTGTTAAGTATTCGGGATTCAGGGGTGAGCAATGAGACTCGGAATTCAGGGGAGGGCGGGTGGGTGTGAGGGGTGTGTGGGGTGTGTGTGGAGTGTGTGTGGGGTGTGTGGGTGTGTGTGGCACCCTCAGGATTCCGATACGATTTAAACATGACCGTCTTAGCAGTTTATGTATGGAGTAGGAGTCGTCTGTCTTCCGCTGGTGATGGAGGAAGGTTGTGTATACAGACTGGTGTAGTATCGGCAATAGTTCGGCCGGCTATGTAATACTACCTACCAATGGCGTCACATCCGATAGTCTTGAGGCCAACTTCTCGTCCTTGACCTCGACCCACGGCTCTCAACTTGACCTTCCTTCCCTGTGGCATGAAGGTGACCGGCACGCCCAGGACATCCACAATGTCCAGTCTAATAATGAATTTACTGTCCGGGCCCTTGTTCTCCTGCATGGACTTGGCCGCGATCAGCCGGTCAGATATACTCTGAACTTGAGTGTCGTCGGAACCTCTGCTGCCATAAACGCACGTCACCTTTGAACAAGGCCGGAGAAACCAATGGTTGAGTATCAGTTGTACACCTATTAAACTTTATAAAACCAAATGTTGAATTAACAATCGGCAAACCTCGACCCTTTCCGTAACGGCAAAGAAGACCTGGCTGTGATTATACGAAAAGGAAACTTGTGACCATACAGTGAACTGGATTCCGCTTAAACAGGCTCGCGGATGCATTTTTTTGCGCGATAATCGTTCATCTGTGTCAAATTTTCGCTTGTCATTCAAAGATATATAGTTACTTATTGAGAAGCTTTTGTCATAAATATGTTCAAAAGATACTTGCAAACAACCACCTATATTTGTGGTGGTGAGTATGGTTTTACGCCGCTTTTAGCAATATTCCAGCAATATCACGGCGGGGAACCAGAAATGGGCTTCACACATTGTACCCATGTCGGGAATCGAACCCGTGTCTTCGGCGTGACGCGCGAACGCTTAAACCACTAGGCTACCCGACCGCCCCCATAAATGGAATAAGTGTTTGTTTGTTGTTTAACGCCGCACTCAGCAGTATTCCAGCTATATGACGGAGGTCTGTAAATAATCAAGTCTGGACCAGACAATCCAGTGATTAATATCATGAGCATCGATCCACGCAATTGGGACCGATGACATGTATCAACCAAGTCATTGAGGCTGACCATCCGATCCCGTTAGTCGCCTCTTACGACAAGCAAAGTCGCCTTGTACGACAAGCAAAGTCGCCTTGTACGGCAAGTAGGGGTTGCTGAAGACCTATTCTACCCCGGATCTTCACGGGTCAAATTGAATAAGTGTATTGAGGTGAATGGAGATTATATTGAAAAATAAAGGTGCAAAAGATATTCTGCGACTTGGTCTTATATTGCAAGTTGCAAAATTTATTGAACGCCCCTCGTACCACAACCACACTAGCAGGTTCTCTGCGACTTCACCGACTGACAAGCTGGTATGTTAACATCACGTGACGGTCATGTGCGAGCGAGGTCGATGGGTCAAATGTCGTCGCGGCTGACGATGGCTACGTCATGTCCGTTTTCCACCGATCGTTCTCAGAGTCGACAATCGAACTCGCGGACCAGCGATAATAATCCCTGCAGACGATAACAGCGGGAAGCATAGTCGCCTCTTACGACAAGCATAGACACCGCAATGTTATATTTCACTGACCATACTGACAGACGGTGGCCAGTCTTAGACAAAAAGGCCGTTTTTGAATTGTATCCGTTTTTTCGGAATATCATTGGGCGTTTACCTACCTGATATTCCCTGTTGCTTTGGTGGATCAAGTTGCTGCCCTCGCCCCAGCTTGCTTTCACCGTGATGACGTAAACTTGGGAATTTCCTCTCCTATTGAAGATGCATTTTGACGCGGCATTCCCTGTGAAATAGACAGGCAGGCTGTAGTTGACGCGGTCGCCGTTGACGTTGTTGAATTTGAAGACCTTTCCCGACTTGCAAACAGCTTGGAACTCGGCGTCAACGTCACTTATTCCCGTGACCCACGTTGCGTCTGACGTCGACCTTCCGCAGTGAGAGCTAACATCCAGTATGTACTTGCTCGGGTTTTCGTTGCAGGGTTCAATGCTACCGGTGCCCAGATAACTAAAATCGGCCCACTTGAAAAAGACCACGGGAACGTTTAGCCTTGGCACCCGAGAGCCAGGTTGTATGCCATGATCATTTCTGAAAACACACTTCGACTGCGTATCTGCGCCCTTCTTCCAGACGGTGACTGCGACTGGTGTATTTTTGACGACAAAGGTTTTGGTGGAGTCCTGACATTTCAAAGCTACTACGACTCTCGACCTTTGGGGAAGTAAGTTTGCGGTGATGGAGTCGTTCTGGCTGCAGTCAATGTCTACCTCCTGAATGAGGTTGGAGATAATTCTGAGTGGGTATGGTGGGAAGATACTCGGCGGGGGCGATGTTGGTGCAAGAGGTATCGGACACGAGAAATCAAGTCGACCGATAGAGCGTGCACCGTATGCAAGGACGTCAACCTGTATTGTATAGCTTGAACCTTTGACCAGGAAGAGGCATTTCTTCGCCGTCCCTGTGTGATACACTTTCAGCCGGGCAGGGAGAGCCCTTATGTCAGATCCTCCCCCACAGCTGGGCCGGAGTACAAGGAATTTATGGAGAGGGTGAAGTTTCTCGGAGAAATCAATTGTTGATGGCACGAATTTCTTACCAGAGCACGTTATCCAAGTTGCCGCTTTGTTCAACGTGTAACCAGATGGAGGTTCGTTCGGAGGGGTGGTCGCTCTTGGAGTAGTTGGTTTAGGTGTAGTTGCTTTGGGCGTGGTTGGTTTTGGAGTAGTTGCCTTGGGTGTGGTTGGTTTAGGTGTAGTTGCCTTGGGCGTGGTTGGTTTTGGAGTAGTAGCCTTGGGCGTGGTTGGTTTAGGTGTAGTTGCCTTGGGTGTGGTTGGTTTAGGTGTAGTTGCCTTGGGCGTGGTTGGTTTAGGTGTAGTTGCCTTGGGTGTGGTTGGTTTGGGTGTGGTTGGTTTAGGTGTAGTTGCCTTGGGTGTGGTTGGTTTTGGCGTAGTTGCTTTGGGCGTGGTTGGTTTTGGAGTAGTTGCCTTGGTTGTGGTTGGTTTAGGTGTAGTTGCCTTGGGCGTGGTTGGTTTAGGTGTAGTTGCCTTGGGTGTGGTTGGTTTAGGTGTAGTTGCCTTGGGCGTGGTTGGTTTAGGTGTAGTTGCCTTGGGCGTGGTTGGTTTAGGTGCAGTTGCCTTGGGCGTGGTTGGTTTAGGTGTAGTTGCCTTGGGCGTGGTTGGTTTAGGTGTAGTTGCCTTTGGCGTGGTTGCTTTAGGTGTAGTTGCCTTGGGCGTGGTTGCTTTAGGTGTAGTTGCCTTTGGCGTGGTTGCTTTAGGTGTAGTTGCCTTGGGCGTGGTTGCTTTAGGTGTAGTTGCCTTGGGCGTGGTTGCTTTAGGTGTAGTTGCTTTGGGTGTGGTTGCCTTAGGTGTAGTTGCCTTGGGTGTGGTTGGTTTTGGAGCGGTTGCCTTGGGCGTGGTTGCTTTAGGTGTAGTTACCTTGGGCGTGGTTGCTTTAGGCGTAGTTGCCTTGGGCGTGGTTGCTTTAGGCGTAGTTGCCTTGGGCGTGGTTGCTTTAGGCGTAGTTGGTTTCTCAGTAGTTGCCTTGGGCGTGGTTGCTTTAGGCGTCGTTGCCTTGGGTGTGGTTGCTTTGGGCGTCGTCGCCTTGGGTGTGGTTGGTTTTAGAGTAGTTGCCTTGGGCGTGGTTGGTTTTGGAGTAGTTGCCTTGGGCGTGGTTGGTTTTGGAGTAGTTGCCTTGGGCGTGGTCGGTTTGGGAGTAGTTGCTTTAGGGGTAGTTGCCTTGGGTGTGGTTGGTTTCGGAGTGGTTGCCTTGGGGGTGGTTGGTTTTGGAGTAGTTGCCTTAGGCGTGGTCGGTTTTGGAGTAGTTGCTTTAGGGGTAGTTGCCTTTGGTGTGGTTGGTTTAGGTGTAGTTGGCTTGGGCGTGGTTGGTTTAGGTGTAGTTGCTTTGGGCGTGGTTGGTTTTGGAGTAGTTGCCTTGGGCGTGGTTGGTTTAGGTGTAGTTGCCTTGGGTGTGGTTGGTTTAGGTGTAGTTGCCTTGGGCGTGGTTGGTTTTGGAGTAGTTGCTTTGGGCGTGGTTGGTTTTGGAGTAGTTGCCTTGGGCGTGGTTGGTTTGGGCGTGGTTGGTTTAGGTGTAGTTGCTTTAGGGGTGGTTGCCTTGGGTGTGGTTGGTTTAGGTGTAGTTGCCTTGGGCGTGGTTGGTTTAAGAGTAGTTGCCTTGGGCGTGGTTGGTTTTGGAGTAGTTGCCTTGGGCGTGGTTGGTTTTGGAGTAGTAGCCTTGGGCGTGGTCAGTTTTGGTGTAGTTGCTTTAGGGGTGGTTGCCTTGGGCGTGGTTGGTTTAGGTGTAGTTGCCTTGGGCGTGGTTGGTTTTGGAGTAGTTGCCTTGGGCGTGGTTGGTTTTTGAGTAGTTGCCTTGGGCGTGGTTGGTTTTTGAGTAGTTGCCTTGGGCGTGGTTGATTTTGGAGTAGTTGCCTTGGGCGTGGTTGGGTTTGGTGTAGTTGCCTTGGGTGTGGTTGGTTTTGGAGTAGTTGCCTTAGGCGTGGTTGGTTTTGGAGTAGTTGCCTTGGGCGTGGTTGGTTTTGGAGTAGTTGCCTTGGGCGTGGTTGGTTTTGGAGTAGTTGCCTTGGGAGTGGTTGGTTTAGGTGTAGTTGCCTTGGGCGTGGTTGGTTTTGGAGTAGTTGCCTTGGGTGTGGTTGGTTTAGGTGTAGTTGCCTTGGGCGTGGTTGGTTTTGGAGTAGTTGCCTTGGGAGTGGTTGGTTTAGGTGTAGTTGCTTTGGGCGTGGTTGGTTTTGGAGTAGTTGCCTTGGGTGTGGTTGGTTTAGGTGTAGTTGCCTTGGGCGTGGTCGGTTTTAGGGTAGTTGCTTTAGGGGTAGTTGCCTTGGGTGTGGTTGGTTTGGGTGTAGTTGCCTTGGGCGTGGTTGGTTTTGGAGTAGTTGCCTTGGGCGTGGTTGGTTTTGGAGTAGTTGCCTTGGGCGTGGTTGGTTTTGGAGTAGTTGCCTTGGGCGTGGTTGGTTTTGGAGTAGTTGCCTTGGGAGTGGTTGGTTTAGGTGTAGTTGCCTTGGGCGTGGTTGGTTTTGGAGTAGTTGCCTTGGGAGCAGTCGGTTTGGGAGTGGTCGCCTTGGGCGTTGTAGGTCTTGTAGTTGGTGTGGTAGATGGTTCCGTGGGAAAGTCTTCCGTTGTCGTAGGCCCTGGGGTTGTTACTTCGGGCGTGGGCTCAGTTGTAAAGCCTTCTGTTGTCCACTGCTGGGTCGTCCATTTTTGCGTTGTGAATTTCTCTGTCGTTGGAGCAGGAGTCGTGGTAGTCGTGGGAGGCGGGGGTTTACAGGGGACGACCACTCCAGTCCCTTCACTAGCCAGCGTTGCATAATCAAACAGGGACACCTCAATACCTTTGATAGTTTTGGCAGCTCTTTTCCATTTACTGGCGCCATCTCGAACAGACGGTATGTCGTCACGAAACACGCAATTCGTGAACGGATCGGCGTCTAGTACAGCACGCATTGCTACAGAACTTGCTTCAACGGTGTAGGTGAACTTGACCTTGAGGCAGGACACTAAGATTATTTTCTTACTCTTCTGGGGAAGGAACGTAAGATCGACGGAACTATCGTAGTTACATTTGATACTAACAATTGAGGCTGGCATGGGGCCCGACTTGTATTTCAACTGGTACGGTGGGTATGGATCACGATTCAGTTGAGAGAACACAAGTTTTAATGGACAAGAGACTGTCACTTTCCCCACAACTGTAGTCCCAAATGCCACAACTTGGATAGCCAACGTATAAGCTGTTCCCTTCTTGAAGAGGCATCTCGAAGTGGGATCCCCCCCATAGTAGATGTTCGTGACCTTTCCGACTGGAATGACTGGTTTGTAAGCATTGGCGCCGCCAGCGCATTGGGGCTTGAGGATGAGGGAGCCCTGGAGAGGGTGCAGCTGTTTGGCCACCACGAGTTTGGAGGCCAACAGTTCATGACCGGAGCAAGTTACTCGAACCGCGGCATTATTTAGGACACCATCAGGCGGGAGATAGAGCAGTTGACACCGCTGGACCTGAAAGCAAAGGATTGATTTGACTGAGCTCTTGACAGTGTGTGATTACCCACGGCGTGTATGTGCGCATTTCGTGTTTAAAACGGCAATATTCCAGCTGTGTGACGGGCTTGGAATAATCGAGTCTGCACCAGACAATTTAATGATTGATATAATGAGCACAATCCACGCCGATATCGATTCATTAATTCGCGTCTTACGAACTTCAATAGTTGCTTTGTTCCTATGGTTACTTGGTAAACGTGTAAGCGTTCATCAAGACATATTGAGTTAGTTTGTTGATGAACGCCGCACTCAGCAATATTTCAGCTATATGACGGCAGTCTAAATAATTTAGTCTGCACTAGACAATCCAGATTGATATCAGCATCGATTTATTTGGCCTCTTACGACAATCACAGTCGCCTGCAACGGCAATCGTCGCCTGCAACGGCAATCATAGTCGCCTGCAACGGCAATCATAGTCGCCTGCAACGGCAATCATAGTCGCCTTCAACGGCAATCATAGTCGCCTGCAGCGGCAATCATAATCGCCTTCAACGGCAATCATAGTCGCCTACAGCGGCAATCATAGTCGCCTTCAACGGCAATCATAGTCGCCTTCAACGACAATAATAGTCGCCTCTTCTGAAGGCATGGGTTGCTGAAAACCTCTTCAAACCCGGATCTTCACGGGCCATCGAGATGGTTGACGGGCAGAATGGTCCTGAGGACTGGGCAAGTGAAACATTTTACGCACTTACACCACAGGCCCCAACATAGCAGATATATCAAGTCGGCCTGTTAATGATGCCGAGTAGGCTAGGTAAACTTGGTATGTAACTGGACTGAACCTGCATCAGGTGAGGTGAGGTGAAATTGGGTTTAACGTCGCGTCCAAGATTATTGCACTTATATAGCGACGTGCATGTACGTGTGCGCGCGTGTGGGGCTGCTTGTACTAGTCCGGACTGATGCCGATTTATAGTGCTAGTCCACTGAGATACCATGCCGCAGTTTAACATGAATACCCCACTCAGACATAGTATACTGACTCCGAGCAGACCAGTCCTTGTTTTAGTCCCTGAATGCCGAGCGCCATACAGGGTAACAACAAGTACCATCTTTTAACGTCTTTTGGTATGACGCAGCCGGGGATCGAACCCCCGACCTTCCGCTCTCCGGGCGGACGCTCTACCACTAGACTACGGAGGCGGTCCACCTGCATCAGGAACATTTTGACATGAAAACCTAGTTGCACCAGACAAGACCAGGTTGCACCCTGTCCCATAATAGCGGGTCTGGTGCCAGTGTCACAAAGGTTGGTTTGGGTTTGCTGTTTTGTTGCACTCCATTCCAGCTATATGAGAGATCTGACGTTACCTATTGTTATGTGACGTCATTAAATTACACAGTGACCTCATTGAATGAGAGTGAGTATGATTTTACGCCGCTTTTAGCAATATTCCAGAAATATCACGACGGGGGACACCAGAAATGGGCTCCACACATTGTACAGACCTCAGTGAGTTTGTTTGATAAAATTGTCATTTTTAACAACCAATCAGCAGATACCATCTCCATAACACCTCACTTGGTGCAGATGAAGCGGGGCATCACATGGATACAATGCTTTTGAAACATTGTCAAGTAGATTTAACTGGTAAATATGTTTGTTTAACGCCGCACTCAGCAATATCCCCCATAAGGGCCCTTTGTGACCACTTCAAAAGTCTTAGTTAAGGAAATTTGAAATAACTTTATGGGACTGCCACACGTCTTCTTTCTTTTGACGTCACGATACGTCTAGCTCAGGGCATTTGTGTTTGACTTCCATGATAGGCTAATCTAGGCTCGAAATGAGGTTTAACTTATATAGTGAGAGAGTCTTGTTTTACGCCGCACACACGAAACAATTTTTAAGACTCTCTTCGGCGTGACAAGCGAACGCTTTAACCGCTAGCATCCCCTCAAAGCCCTTTACCTATATAACGAGGTGCATGCAAGTGGATGTCTGCTTGTACCAGTCCCAGTTAATGCCGGATTTATAGTGCTAGCCCACTGACGGAGATACCATGCCGCATTTAAACATGGAGACCCCTCTCAGGCAAAGTGTACTGACCTTAGGCCGACCAGTCCGTATTTTATTCCCTCAAATCTCAACACCTAGCAAGGTAACCGACACTATCTACAAGACCACGTAGGCGGTACGCGTCCTGGTAGAAGTATGCAATCACATTTATATTTGTGTTTGGTGGTATTCAGTAAGGCCATGTTTGTTTGTTGCTTAACGCCACACTGAGCAATATTCCAGCTGTGTGACAGCGATTTGTAAATAATCGAGTCCCCGATCCGTTAGTCTCTTACGACAAGCATAGACAAGCAAGCTTGGGTTGCTGAAGACCAATTCTAACCCGGATATTCACGGGAAGATGGGAACATTAATATATGTTGTTGGAATATTCAAGGAATTCATACTGTCATTAATGACCATTCATTCAGTATCTTCTCGGTTTCGATTCAATAAAACCATGCATAATGATAATGCACTAATCGACAGCCCTATGACAGGCTTAACGTGTTGCCTCTATGGCAGGCCGGCTACAGAGAAGTGGGGCGTTCGGGGTGGGTGAGTGAGTATTGGTTTACGCCGCTTTAGCAATATTCCAGCAATATCACGGCGGGGGACACCAGAAATGGGCTTCACACATTGTACCCATGTGGGGAATCGAACCCGGGGCTTCGGCGTGACGAGCGAACGCTTTAACCACAAGGCTACCCCGCCGTTCCGACTTATATAAATTATTTTATTATAAATTATAAGGTCGGAGAATGTGTTGATTGTAATGTTGCAAGCCTATCATCAGACCCCCTTACTCAACCTGAAATTCTGAAAGCTGTCAATTCCTTGAGAGAGAGTAAATCCCCAGTTTCAGATAGTATCCGTCTCCTTTGTATAAACAAAGGAAATTTACTAGACCCGAATAATATCCGTGGTATTTCTCTTTTAAATACTCTGGGGCAGGTTTTTACATCTACTTTGGAGGTTACAATAAGAACTTTGATGGAGTAATTATGCTTATTCATGAATCACAGGCTGGATTCAAGAATAATTATTCTACAATTTACTTGACATAAGACAGGTATTTATGGGAAGATATTTAATGTTTTTAATGATATATATTCTAAGATTAGGACTTGTGTAAGAAGTGGAGATGGTAGAACAGATATTTGACACATCAGGAGGCCGTCAAGGATGCATTTTGAGTCCAGTTTTATTTATTTAGTTTTGGAATTTGAGCAAGTGGATTAAGAGGCATATTTGTTCATGAGGTTGGTTGGTTTGTTGTTTAACGCCGCACTCAGCAATATTCCAGCTATTTGACGGCGGTCTGTAAATAATCGAGTCCGGACCAGACAATCCAGTGATTGACATCATGAGCATCGATCAATGCAATTGGGATACGATGACATGCATCAACCAAATCAGTGAGCCTGACCACCCGATCCTGTTAGTCACCTCTTACGACAAACATAGTCGCCTTTTACGGCAAGCATGGGCTACTGAAGACCTATTCTACCCCGGATCTTCAGGGGTCGATACAACCATGTAAAGCTTGGGTTTAATGGCTACCGTCAAAGGGCCATTGTACCCTCACATTAATATGTAAAATGAATTTCAATCTAAAACTAAAGTGATGAATTTAAATGGGTGGGTATGAATAACAATTTAAAGTTAACTATTTTTTCCTAAAAAAAACCAAGACTTGGTGGATACTTCTGAAGTTTCGTGAACGAATTTTAATTTATGTTTCGTTGCAGACGGACAGGCGGTTGTGCTGAACATGTGGATCACTATCTGACTTATCGAGGTCCTTATGATTTGGGTTGAAGAAATAAACGTTTCTAATTAGTGAGTTGGTTTTTAACGCCGCTTTTAACAATATTCCAGTTATATCGCGGCGTGTCAGCTTAATTTTGGAGGAAAGTCCGAGTGATGCAGGTCTCAGACGTTTACCACTTCGGTGAAACCCACGAGCACCGGTATGGTGCTGACAAACCTAGAAACATAATCGGGGCGAACGGGATTCGAACCCACAATCACAGATTTCTGGCGTGCCCAAAGTACGTACATGTAGATCGAACCGCCTGTTGCTAATGACCACCCGCACCTAAGCAAGGCCATTTCCATTGTTGTCTGTTTCAACTCAAATTTCGTTTTTCCACTGGATTTTTTCTTTTTGGCAGGTTGTCACGCCATTGCGCGGTCGCTTCATATCTGTTTTGGTTGGTTGTTTGTTGTTTAACGCCGTACTCAGCAATATTCCAGCTATGAGACGGTGGTCTCAAACTAATCGAGTCTGGACCAGACAATCCAGTGACGGATATCACGAGCATTGATCTAAGGGATACGATGAAATGAATGAAATGCGTTGACCAAGTCAGCGAGCCTGACCACCCAATCGCGTTTGTCGCCTCTTAAGGAAAGCATGGGTTGCTAAAGACCAATTCTAACCCGGAATCTACACAGATTTGCTTCATATCTGAAGCGGCAGTGGAGGTTGCGAATAGAGGTTATTTTGTAAGTACTTTTATAGATCCGTAACATGCTAAAGAAATATATAAATAACAAAATAAAACCATTCCTCTCAACCCAGTCTGGTTAAAACAAGAGTCATCCGAAGATGACGTATCCCCCCGACGTGGCATGTCGATAAACTGTGTGTACCTTCAAATAACAAACTGCACTACTAGTGAACATGATTGATATGTGCATAAAGTTTGGTGAATCTCTGTCGCATGGTTTGGAAGATATGCTCCAGACGAGGACATTACCCTAAGTTCATCGATTTTCAATTTAAATTGAAAAAAGAAAAAATAGAAAAAATCGGTTAATAGCAAAGGCACCACTACATAACCTGCTTGATAGGTGTAAAATCTTTGAGAAGCTAAGTTGTATGGTTCGGGAGATATGGTCCGGACACTACCCTAAAATTTCCTAAGTTCATCATATTTCCATGGAAACGACCAAAATATATATTTTTTGAAATCTCCAGATTGCATAAGGCACTACTACTGAGCCTGATTGGTAAGTGTACCAAGTTTTGTGAAGCTAGGTTGTACGGTTTAGGAAATATGCTCCGGACAAACAATGATTACAGACGGATAGACGGATAGACGGATATACTGATGGCTATATCCCCCCGTCATTATATGCCGGGGGGATAAAAAAGACGTGAAAAAGAACAAAATATCTCGAAAATCATGTGTCTTATGAGGATATATTGAATGTACTTCAAAATAGGGTTATGATCCGGACAGCACAGAGTTTTAGACCAACTTACGTACCAGTAACTAGTAGCATATATAAAAACAGGATTAGAGGTAATTTCGGAAACGGGAATTTACATGCAGTATGGAAAAGTGAGTGAGTGAGTTGGGTTTAACGCCGCTATTGACATTATTATCAGTATGGAAAAGAGCACTTTTAAACCAGAAGGGTACAAGAGATATCCCTATCCCATTGATAGTTTCCATGTCGATCATACTTCGTTTTAGCAAAACCACGCTAAGCGGTGCCATGAATATACCAAACAACGTTTCATGGGTAACAAATTTTAAAGTTATCGTCCCGATTCAGGGGTTTCCGGAACTACCAGGTTCCACATTTGTTTATTTTTGTTTAGCGCCACACTCACGGTGGTCTGTAAATAATGGACCGAAACAGATACTTCAGTGATGGACTGAAACATACTTCAGTGATGGACTGAAACAGATACTTCAGTGATGGTCATCATGTGATTCGATCTACGCAAATGGGATACGATAAAATGCATCAATCATGCCTCAGTGAGCCTGATCATCCGATCTCGTTAGTCCACTCTCACAACAGACATGAGACCCGTGAAGATCCGGGTTAGAATTGGTCTTCAAGAACCCATGCTTGTCGTGAGAGGATCGGGTGGTCAGTCTCGCTCACTTGGTTGATGCTTGTCATCGTATCCTAATTGCGTAGATCGTTGCTCATGATGTCAATCACAGGGTTATCTGATCCAGACTCGATTATTTACTCACCGCCATCATATAGCTGGAATATTGCTAAGAGTGGCGTCAAACAAAAAACAAAACAAAACAAAACAAAAACAAAAACAAAAACAAACAAACAAACAAACAAACAGACAAGTATGGAGGTTTTCACTTGATTTAAGTGCAAGTACTTGGAGCGGGTATGTAAGCACATGTACGTGTACATGTACGCACGTGGATGGCATAGGCGGATCCGGATGGGGTGTGGGGTGTGTGGGGTGGGTGAGGCCCACGGGGGTCCGGACCCTACCCCTTTTCAAAAACCAAATGTAGTATGTTGTAGGCAGTAAAAATATCTGAGCGAGGATTTTGATATGAGCTCCTCCCTTATAAAAATGACCATACATAAATTAAGTATCTAAATATTACTTACCTGCAGAAGCAGCGTCAGAAATCCGACAACGACGTAGTTGGACATGTCTGACCAGCATGCCACGTGTCCATACGAGCGAAGACGCGAGCCTTGACTTCCTCTTTGTATAAACTTGCCTTGCACGTGCGGCTGCGTTTGTGCGAATCGTAACATTTTAAAACCGCCTGAGGAATTCATTGATCCTCGTTTCTTTACGGACAGAGAGTCGAGTGGTCACGAATGTGTTATTCGTGAATGGATAACGGATAAAGATACTGTGCCAATACAATGCCTCTGAAAGTGGTTTGCTTTTGTGAGCCTTTAATTAATCTACGATTGACAAATCGCTGGCAATTATTTTTATTCTTATCTATTTGTTGAAAAAGGTATCTTTTGGAAAGCAATGTTATGTCAGCATCCTAAACCTAAACCCAGCTCACTAAAAATCCACTTGACCTTTTCTTTTGAACTATACGAAAAAGAAAAATTACCTTATTTAAGAGGTCATGGTGTGTTTTATCATTGATATACAAGTTTTATAAAAAAATAAAGTAAATATTGCTTAACCGTTTTGACACACTGACGCTCAAAGGGACCAATTCAAAAGGTCTGTGTCGGATAAATATCTTAAAGTTCAGGGGTAGGGGGTTAATGGCCGTGCAAGTTTTCCATCCAAAAAAATCAGCTTACCTGATTTCTCAATGTTTTATGTAGTAACCAAACTAAGAAAAACGTCGGATCCTATTTCACCGATCCTATTGTTATTCATATGCTGTGAGGAGTTGTCTTTCCACGAGATACGGTTACGTTGTCCAAGATCCATAAAAAGTCTACAGGTGATTTCCAATAAAATGCCTGTATTTTTAACCATTATTGGTGAAGGAGGGGGTACAGTAGGTCTCAAAACTTAAGGAATTAAGATTTTATCCGACAAAACGCTTTTGAACTGGTCCCTAACCTATGTGTAACTGTTTCTATAAGAAAATATTTCTTCCTGGAAACAAACACTAAGATAACGTTGGCTTATTCGGGGTGCTGAGATGGATGTGTTACGGATGTGGAAATGGGTGACAGTATGGGTGTTTATTCGGGGAGTGTGTATGGGTAACGGTAGGAATGTTTATTTGGGTTGTGTATATGGGTGACAGTAAGGGTGTTTATTCGGATTGTGTGTATGGGTGACGGTGAGAGTGTTTTTTTGGTTTGTGTGTATAGGTGACGGTGAGCGTGTTTATTCGGGTTGTGTGTAGGGGTGACGGTGAGAGTGCTTTTTTGGTTTGTGTGTAGGGGTGACGGTGATAGTGTTATTTGGGTTGTGTATATGGGTGACGGTGAGAGTGCTTTTTTAGTTTGTGTGTAGGGGTGACGGTGAGAGTGTTTATTTGGGTAGTGTGTGTGGGTGATGGAAAGGGTGTTTATTGGGCTGTGTGTATGGGTAACGGCAAGTGTGTAATTTCGGACGGTGTGTATGGGTTATTGTGAGAGTGTTTATTTGGGTTGTGTGTATGGGTAACGATAAGAATGTTATTTTGGGTTGTGTGTGTGGGTGACAGTGAGAGGGTTTATTTGGGTTGTGTGTATGGGTTACGGTGAGAGTGTTTATTTGGGTTGTGTGTATAGGTGATGGAAATGGTGTTTATTTGGGCTGTGTGTATGGGTAACGGCAAGTATGTAATTTCGGATGGTTTGTATGGGTTATGGTGAGAGTGTTAATTGGGTTGTGTGTATGGGTTACGGTGAGAGTGTTTATTTGGGTAGTGTGTGTGGGTGATGGAAATGGTGTTTATTTGGGCTGTGTGTATGGGTAACGGTCAGTATGTTATTTCGGATCGTGTGTATGGGTGTCATTAAGGGTGTTTATTTGGGTAGTGTGGATGGGTGACGGTGAGAGTATGTATTTGGGCTGTGTGTATGTGTGACGGTGAGAGTGTTTATTTGGGTTGTGTGTATGTGTTACAGTTAGGATGTTTATTTGGGTTGTGTGTATGTGTGACGATGAAAGTGTTTATTTGGGTTGTGTGTGTGTGACGGTGAGAGTGTTTATTTGGGTTGTGTGTATGGGTGATGGTAAGGGTGTTTTTTCGGATAGTGTGTATTGCTGACAGTGAGAGTGTTAATTCGGGTTGTGTGTATGGGTAACGATAAGTGTGTTACTTTTGGGTTGTGTGTATGGGTGACAATTAGGGTTTGTTTAGGGATGTGTGTATGGGTGACGGTAAGGGTGTTTATTTGGGTTGTGTTAATGTGTGACGATGAGAGTATTTATTTGGGTAGTGTGTATGTGTGACGGTAAGGGTGTTTATTTGGGTTGTGTTTATGTGTGACGATGAGAGTGTTTATTTGGGTTGTGTGTATGTGTGACGGTAAGGGTGTTTATTTGGGTTGTGTATTGCTGACAGTGAGAGGGTTCATTCGGGTTGTGTGTATGGGTGACGGTGATAGTGTTATTTGGGCTGTGTGTATGGGTGACGGTGATAGTGTTATTTGGGTTGTGTGTATGGGTGACGGTGAAAGTGTTATTTTGGCTGTGTGTATGGGTGACGGTGATAGTGTTATTTGGGTGTTGTGTATGGGTGACGGTGAAAGTGTTATTTGGGCTGTGTGTATGTGTGACGGTGAGAGTGATATTTTGGCTGTGTGTATGTGTGACGGTGATAGTGTTATTTGGGCTGTGTGTATGTGTGACGGTGAGAGTGATATTTTGGGTTGTGTATATCATAGACGGTGATAGTGTTATTTGGGTTGTGTGTATGGGTGACGGTGATAGTGTTATTTGGGTTGTGTGTATGGGTGACGGTGAGAGTGATATTTGGGTGTTGTGTATGGGTGACGGTGATAGTGTTATTTGGGTTGTGTGTATGGGTGACGGTGAAAGTGTTATTTGGGCTGTGTGTATGGGTGACGGTGATAGTGTTATTTTGGCTGTGTGTATGGGTGACGGTGATAGTGTTATTTGGGCTGTGTGTATGTGTGACGGTGAGAGTGATATTTTGGGTTGTGTGTATGGGTGACGGTGATAGTGTTATTTGGGTTGTGTATATGGGTGACGGTGATAGTGTTATTTGGGCTGTGTGTATGGGTGACGGTGATAGTGTTATTTGGGCTGTGTGTATGGGTGACGGTGAGAGTGATATTTTGGGTTGTGTATATCATAGACGGTGATAGTGTTATTTGGGTTGTGTGTATGGGTGACGGTGATAGTGTTATTTGGGTTGTGTGTATGGGTGACGGTGAGAGTGATATTTGGGTGTTGTGTATGGGTGACGGTGATAGTGTTATTTGGGTTGTGTGTATGGGTGACGGTGAAAGTGTTATTTGGGCTGTGTGTATGGGTGACGGTAATAGTGTTATTTTGGCTGTGTGTATGGGTGACGGTGATAGTGTTATTTGGGCTGTGTGTATGTGTGACGGTGAGAGTGATATTTTGGGTTGTGTATATCATAGACGGTGATAGTGTTATTTGGGTTGTGTATATGGGTGACGGTGATAGTGTTATTTGGGCTGTGTGTATGGGTGACGGTGATAGTGTTATTTGGGCTGTGTATATGGGTGACGGTGATAGTGTTATTTGGGCTGTGTGTATGGGTGACGGTGATAGTGTTATTTGGGCTGTGTGTAGGGGTGACGGTGATAGTGTTATTTGGGCTGTGTGTAGGGGTGACGGTGATAGTGTTATTTGGGCTGTGTGTAGGGGTGACGGTGATAGTGTTATTTGGGCTGTGTGTATGGGTGACGGTGATAGTGTTATTTGGGTTGTGTATGGGTGACGGTGATAGTGTTATTTGGGCTGTGTGTATGGGTGACGGTGATAGTGTTATTTTGGGTTGTGTATATCATAGACGGTGATAGTGTTATTTGGGTTGTGTATATGGGTGACGGTGATAGTGTTATTTGGGCTGTGTATATGGGTGACGGTGATAGTGTTATTTGGGTTGTGTATATGGGTGACGGTGATAGTGTTATTTGGGCTGTGTATATGGGTGACGGTGATAGTGTTATTTGGGCTGTGTGTATGGGTGACGGTGATAGTGTTATTTGGGCGTTGTGTATGGATGACGGTGATAGTGTTATTTGGGTTGTGTGTATGTGTGACGGTGATAGTGTTACTTGGGTTGTGTGTAGGGGTGACGGTGATAGTGTTATTTGGGCTGTGTGTATGTGTGACGGTGATAGTGTTACTTGGGTTGTGTGTAGGGGTGACGGTGATAGTGTTATTCGGGTTGTGTGTATGGGTGACGGTGATAGTGTTATTTGGGTTGTGTGTAGGGGTGACGGTGATAGTGTTATTTGGGTTACGTGTAGGGGTGACGGTGATAGTGTTATTTGGGTTGTGTGTATGGGTGACGGTGATAGTGTTATTTTTGCTGTGTGTATGGGTGACGGTGATAGTGTTATTTTTGCTGTGTGTATGGGTGACGGTGATAGTGTTATTTGGGCTGTGTGTATGTGTGACGGTGATAGTGTTATTTGGGTTGTGTGTAGGGGTGACGGTGATAGTGTTATTCGGGTTGTGTGTATGGGTGACGGTGATAGTGTTATTTGGGTTGTGTGTAGGGGTGACGGTGATAGTGTTATTTGGGTTGTGTGTATGGGTGACGGTGATAGTGTTATTTGGGTTGTGTGTATGGGTGACGGTGATAGTGTTATTTGGGTTGTGTGTATGGGTGACGGTGATAGTGTTATTTGGGTTGTGTGTAGGGGTGACGGTGATAGTGTTATTTGGGTTGTGTGTATGGGTGACGGTGATAGTGTTATTTGGGTTGTGTGTAGGGGTGACGGTAATAGTGTTATTTTGGCTGTGTGTATGGGTGACGGTGATAGTGTTATTTTGGCTGTGTGTATGTTTGACGATGAGAGTGATTTTTTGGGTTGTGTATATCAGAGACGGTGATAGTGTTATTGGGTTGTGTGTATGGGTGACAATTAGGGTTTGTTTGGGGATGTGTGTATCGGTGACGTAAGGGTGTTTATTTGGGTTGTGTGTATGGGTGATGGTGATAGTGTTTATTTTAGTTGTGTGTATGTGTGGCGGTATATACCACCGGCTGGTGGTTTGAGTTAGTAAAGAAATTGAAGTTGAAATATGTAAGGGTGTTTATTTGGGTAGTGTGTATGGGTGATGGGAAGGGTGTTTATTTGGGTAGTGTGT